GCTGTATAATGCAAGTCCGATGCGCGTCCGATTTTTTTATCTTCCAGAACGAAAATTACAAAACATAATTATCATAAAAAAATAGAAACTCAATTATTTTATAATCAAATTATTTTCGTTTTATTAAATTAGGACTTCTGTGAAAGCTTGAGAATCGCGGGAAGGAATTTCTATTTATCTTTTCTCTTCACGTAACACGAACAGGAAATTTTCGATTTATTTGTTTTAATTATATAATTATCTTTCGTTCGATCTTTCTACGCCAACTGTGCCCTTGGCACGTTTTGTTCGACGAGCCTCGCGTGCAATAATTCTTCAACAGTAGAAGCAGAAGATCCGACGATCACCCCGGTCTACGATTACATCTTTATGGTTTTATAACGGCTCGTGCGTAAGGGATTCTTATCCCCCCCGTTCGATTGAAGGAAAGAACACGGAAATCGTGTTTCCACGGCGCGAGAGCCTCTTCCCTCGGTTTTACTCTTACCCCCTGTGCAAATTCGCTTTATCGTCGCGACCGCCGTGGAAAGACCTCGCGCCCCTTCATACTAGCGCGGGAGGATGTCGTGTGTACACTTATTTCATGCTTGGTGGAACATCGGGACTCGAAGGAAACATCCTTTTCTCTCTTCGCAAGGCGCGCGAAATCGAAGAAAGCCGAGGCGGAATATTTTTCGGTGCACAAACCGTGATAATTTTAGACAGTGGTATACTTACGAAAAGGAAAAAATAATATAATAAGTAAACGGTTTTAAGGTGTTTGAAATATTATTCGAAGAACTTTTTATTTGAAAGTAGAAACGATATTTAGGGTAAAGCGCCAACATGTGTGCATTATTATTGTGGTGATGTCAAAGTACCGTTAAGAGATTTCGTAACAAATATTCTTGAAAATCTGTTTTATTTTTGTGCTAAATTTTCATGTGTGAAATATTATTCATGAATAATTTATTCGTCTTTTTTAAGTTTCTCTCTATTTTTTTTCTCAAATATAAGATTTTATAAAAGGTTAAAAAGTATCCTAGTTTGCAATTCGCTAATTTCTTAATTATAAAAAATTTACAAAGTTGAGAAATTTATTTAAAATCATCTCGCATTTTTATATTAATGTTTTGATCGGTTTCTGATTTTTCATTCATATCAAACTTATTTTTATCTTTCGTAATTTTCCATGGTTTTACCAGAATTCTCGTATAGATATATTATACGCCGCATATTATTTGGTGCTTGTGAAATGACATCAAAGTAGAATGGAAACATTCGGTGACAGAAGATGCGTTTCGTCATACAAAGGGCAAAATGCGTCTAGAAACGCTTTTGTCGTTGCTCTGCATTTTTTCTTTTCTTTTACAAACGAATTCTGCATATACGGATGAATGATTGATATCTCGCATTATCCTCAATCAACGCGACTGTCCTCGCGAATCCGAGGATCTTATACACGAAATGAGGGAAAAGAGGAAAAGAGGACTATGATATCGGTGAAAGTGGGAGGATGAGATGTCGGGAAACGGTAGCGAAAAGTGCATCAGCATGGGGGCTTTGCTGATTTACGAGGAGTCGTTGCTAGGAGAGCATTAATATACGTGACGGAATATTAAACCGCGAGCGTCAATGGGTACATCTTCAAAGGGATTTTCAGGGCGTCTCTCGGGTACGCGAAGGGAAGGAGAAAAAGAGAGAGAGAAAGCCAGGTTCTCCCGCAAGATTATGAGATTCTTGTTAAGTGTCACGTGTAAAGAGTTCTTTCATACGCGACCGAGCCAACCCGCGGCGGCGCTCGTGAAATACCGTCAGATAAAGGTGACATGAAAATTTATCGAACGCGTTTTCAGAGATTCGCTTTAAACTCCCCCCTTCGCCAAATCCTGGTCTCGCGGGGTGGAACGTAAGCTGGCTTACTTTGTCAGTTTCACCGTGGCGTGGGAGCGAAAGAATAGAAGATTGCAGCTCGGAGCTAAGTTTAACAGAGTGCCCGTTCTTTATCCCGTGTGAAAAAAAAATTATCGTCTTCCCGTCAATATAATTTCTCTAGATTTTTAAAGTTTAATAATATTATCGTCGCGTCTCTTTCGCATTCGAGGACACAATTGAATATCTTCTATAGCTTCTGATGATTCCAACGTGAAAAGAAACGTGAAATCCATAGACGCAAATTTTTGTTCTTCCTCTTTATTATACGAAAAGAGAGTCGGAGAGAGAGACGTTATCCGCGACACAATACGAACGCTGGAGGAAGAACGTTAATGAGATAAGAGAGGGTCGATTCGAGGTAATAACAGGGAGGATTTTTATAACGAGGATCGACCGAGTCTTCTCCTATGGGGAAAGCGCGTCGCTCGCGTTTGCTAATCGCAAACGCCATGTCGTCGCTCACTTGTCGTATCCCCGCCGCGTTTCGCCCCTACGTCGTCGGAGGCGGACTTAATTATCTAATTAATTAACCTCAATCAGAACGATGAGTAATTTCTCGCTCGGCTGGCGCCTTTGCCGCCGAGACTTTCTTGTCGCGGGGAGCGAATTACGGATGAGCTCACGGCAAATCGATTATGTTCCCGATGCTGCTGCCTCGCGTCTCTCCGTTAGCCCGCACACAAGACAGGGAGAGAGGCTCCTGCCAGGATCCTGCGGTATCCTGTGCTCTAGGTGGCCGACCAATTTTCCTCCCCCGTGGCTCGCTCGCCTTTATCTTTGGCGCTTATACGCCGATCGCGCGATAACTCGGTCGTGAAGGGCGACCGTGGTCGTTCGTCCTTAGTGCGGAGTTTAGTGCGGTGAAGCTTGGCTTGATTCGAGGGATAAGGAAGATAAGAATATCCTCGCGAATCGCGGCCGACCTCTTGCTCCGGTTATAGAAAGTGTCGAAAGAGAAAGCAAGCGGTCTCGTTAATTTCAAGACAGGAGCTTTGTATGTCATTATAATAAAATGTAGAAAGTTAATGAGTTTTTCCTCAAATGATAATATAACGAAATATATTCAGAAAGTTATGGCGTGAGTCATCTGTTTCTCGGGATAAAATAATGACACATTTTGACACTTCGAAGTCAATTATTATTGACTCAAGAGTATCGCACGTTTGTTCTACTGTAACTAACTTTCCTTAAATCCTCGGAGCAAATCTCCCCGTCTCAAAATAACAGCGACCCTTTCACGGTAGCCTCTCGATTTCCATTTCGGATATTCCAAACTCGAACGAGGTCTTTTCTCCGCGACAAAAGCACCCCTCGAAGCTACACAGCCGGCTGGCACCGCCCCCGATGTGTAACTGACGTTTTTGACGCGTCAAGTGGTTCCATCGTGCTTGCCCGTCCTCCAATAAGGGTCGGCACGTTTATCGGCTACTGTTTTACATAAATATCCCCGGGAGTCGCGAGACGTCGCGTAGAGATTCCTCTAAGTGATCTCGAGTGTTTTCGCAGTTGATTCGACGTTTTCTCGCGCCGGAGACTTTTTTAAGCCCCGTTTAACCCTGGCCCCGGGCTCTGGGTAACTTTGGTATTTAGTTAGTCAACCCTGCCCGCGAGGCGTCATGAGAAACGACAAGTGGCTCGCCCCAGCGAAGGCTCGAGCGTATCACCGGCTGTGTACATATTCGGGAGCGAGGCTGACATTACATACGTGTTGGTGAATATAGATGGTAGATGGGCTAGCCCTGTGTATGTGGTTTCTCGTCGCATCGAATGCTCTGTATGCCTTTCATGTGATAATCCTTGTGTATTTAATCGGAGAACATCGACGGAGCCGACTCGGCGCTTCACGTAAAAAGTAAACGATCCCCCGTGGATTAGTTCATAATTTGCTTTGAACGGAGGGCAAAATAGAGAGAGAGAGAGAGAGCAAGAGTGCACTCCAACTTTCCAGCCGAGTGTTTGTTTAACAGTTTAGACTTTTTTTCGACTTTGATTTTTACCGCGTGCTTCTCGCAGGCTCATCTAGTTTTATTTGAGTTTACGTTAAATATATATTTTAGCTATTTGTACCAACCCGTGACGAAGGTGCCTTGTAATAACGCCTTGTAATGTTGGGTTTAATACGTTATTACTTCAAGCCACATTTAATGGCCAGCGGTGCTGACGCCGGAAATTTGAGCTCGTAAAATTACAAAGCTCGTTTAAAGCGAAAATGCCGCATAGTGATTACAACATTTAGTAAATAAATTAAAAATTGCATTATTAAAAAGATTACAAACAAGTTATTGTATTCAAAAAATGAAAGGCAACTCGGTTGTGTATAATAATTACGATTATAACATTGATAAGATGATTTTCGCGTTATTGCTTATTCAATCACTTATCGCTATTATTATCGCAGGAATTATCTAGTACATGTATGTATATACTATGCTAACTTCGCAGTCTTTGCCAATTCATAATATACAGTAAATAATATCGATGTATAAATAGGCCACCTGATTCAACACGTATTTTCAGATTTTAATTATGTTTATAGAAAGAGATTGTGTTATCACAACTCCCTTAAATGTTATTATACGGATCCCTACGAGGAAGATAATATTTTATGTGATAAGGATTTAGAAACTGCGCATTAGAAGATACAACACATAAAGAATTGTAGTTTGAGGACAAATTATTAAAAATTTAAGTTGTGAACATGTTATATCGAAAATATATTAATTTTTTAAAATACATCGTAGAATATTCATGTATATACGCACACACGTACGCGCGTTACTACACTTTCGAAAAGTATTGATTATGTCAATATTCCAATAGAAATCGACGAAACTTTGACGAAAATGACTTTATTCCGTGAAGTGTTCGCGTTTTCTCGCGATATTCCACTATTCGCGAGTAACTTATCGAACGAGGGATATAAACGAGACACATTCATACGATGTCGTAACGTCGCCTGGAAATTTGTCGTCCCACATCTTATCGCAAGGAAATACGTTGCACGGGTTTCTATACTTGTCAACGCTCGTACGAGTTTCCTTGATTTTCGTAGCTCTTTACTTCGCTAATGGATTACACTCTCGAGAATGTTCTCGCAGAGGTCGCGTTATTTCTCCCAGCTGTCGAGATCTTATCCGATTTTGAAGCTCGTTGACATTTACGATCGCCAGGTAATCGCGATTTAGTGAGAAAATGCAATCATTTTATCTTGACAAATATATATCATTTATGTGACATCTTCGTTTATCGCGCAGTCTTTTATACGAGCATACGTTTTGGATAACTTTTACATTTGTATTTTGATGTACATCCTGTTCTACGCGTCATTATGGTACGCTAATTATGTAAGTAATCATTATCACTGAAAGCTATAACACAATTAATTCGAAAAATTAGCATTTTAATATAATTTTTGATACAATTGTTTAAGGTAATCAAACGAATTGAAAACTCGAATCGGAAAATGTCAATGACAGTTGCAGAGAACAAGACAGTGAGTTTAGGGTTATGCCATTTATTAATTCAAGACTAATGCTTTTATTTGATTATTAGATTAATTCATTAATCATTTATAAAGCTCGCTTTTTTATAAAGAATTTAATTTTTGTAGAAATTAGACAGATTAGTGTCGCTGAAAAATAAAAAGGCGGAATTCGAAGAAGTGATCGTGAAAACGGTTAGACACTTATTTTTTTATTTTTATAATAACACCTATAATTAATTATTAAAGATAAATAATCAATGATGATAATTAATATTCTTTACAGACAGATACGCAAAAAATTACTACGCAATATCTAGAAGATGAAGTAAGTTAAGAGTTGCAAATCGATGTAAATCTATGTGTAAACAAAAACCTATTTAATATTCGTATCGTAAACACGATTTAATTATTCAGATGTATAGGCTCAGCGCGGAATTAATTACGACGTCCAATAAAATAGTCGAATTAGAGAGAATCGTTGAAAAAGTAATCGTCGTTTTTTGACACTTATTTTGTAACTACCCATTTTTACTCGCTTCAGTAATTAATTATTAAATCGTAGATGGTTTTTAGTACAAATATCCAGACAAATCGCTTACACATTCAACCGATATCATCGCAACCGGTGAAGGAGAATGTATACAAGGACACGAGGATACCGCGAATCCGCTCGAGAAGTTCAAGGTGAAGATATTGTATTCATATTTCGTTCTGTCAATCAAATGTTCAACAATATCTTTTGAATTTTACATTACGGGCTAATCAAGGACTACGATAAATAATCATGATATAATCAAGAATATAACATGAAGTTTGTAAAAATATTATTTATAATTGAATCGATTCAGATGCAGTTAGTACAGATTGAACAGTTCACATAATTGAATATCCTTTTTGTTCTGTTGATTGGGCTGATAATGAGTAAAAAATGAATCGAGATGATTAATAATACATTATATTTCGTAATTATTGTCGAACGTGGTTTTAAGATCCTCGAACCGTCATTTCCGCCGTCTCTACCACCGGAACCTCCGCCTCGGAAGTACGGGATCTTTGTCAGTCGACCGCCTGGGCAACGTAGACCGCCGTCTGCAGTTGCACCTGCAACCCCATCGCCAAAAATCGGATTCAAACAATAGCGCTTCGGCAGAAGCTTCCTCGGACTCTGTCATTCGACGTCGTAAGACGGTCTTTACATATTTCAGATATATATGTAATTTATTGGAATATTATACATTTCTTGTTTAAGTGGAAAATGATCAAACTAAAGATGTATTAATTCACAACATTTGTCTGTATTGTGTTGTCGGCACGGTCGATCGAAAAGTTGATCGTAACTCCTTGCAATTCTAATTTGATGCAATTTATTCTTGGATCGAATAATATTGATTTCGTTATTTATCGCTTCCTTTGTATCAACCATTCCAAGATTTTATGTTTCTTGCAACTTTATAAATGTTTCTTTTCAGTTATACAATATTAAATTATATAAATTAAATTTTGCAATATAATACATATATATCTATAGTATGTATTCTTGAATTGAATTAATTCTTAAAAATTTCTATTCTACAGCTACGAATAGAAATTCTTCAAGACACAGCAATTATCATGACGGTGATCGAAAGAGGTATTCTAAACGACTCAAGATGCACTCGCGACGATCTTCGTATTATAACATGCGTAAGATCCATATAGATTCCTTAAAGAATGTCACACCTTTTACCAAATCATTATTAGGACTTGCTACAATGTTTTACCGAGTTTTACATTAAAATATCATATTTTGGCAATTTTAATGTCTCAAAGATGATTTTTATAATCTTTTCTTATCTTGTTTTCGTGTGTATTTAAAATGTTATTTATATTTATGTATTATTTTATATATAACATATTAGAAATAATATGTGATTTTATTATGATAATATTTATTTTTACAATACTGTGTTCTTATAAAATTATGTGAAATTTTATATAATAAATATATATATATATTCTTGTTATCCATTTTATTTCTGTATTTCATTATATTTTAATTCGAGTTTAGTTAAAACTTTGTAAAATGCTATATTTTCTTTATACGCCTGCTGCAGTAGATTTTATAATTGTGTTTCATGAGTGTTTTTTTTCAAGCATAATTAGTTACATGTCATAGCAATCATAGAGCACAATTATTGTGTAGATATGATATTTATGAAATAAAACATAAAAACGCTTACATGTAAATGTAAATGACGCACATGTCTGTTTTATATCGTGAAAAATAGAGCTGTATTAAAAATTAATTCTTATTCTCGTCAGCCAAACAAATAGATATAACTGTTCAGATTTGCATCCTCAGTTAAATGATTCAACCTTATTTATAAATAATGCCGTTAATCGAAATAAATGTTTAAGTAAGACGTATTGGAAATAAATAATAATTAATTAAATGCGTTCAATGTTCAGTTTTATAAATAAAAGAGAGATAATGAATGGCAGAACCAACAACTAAAATAAATATGCTAATAATACGATAAATAATCACATCAATATTATCGTTTTATATTTTTATTTATATGTCAAGAGAAAATTGTATTATTTTTAATGATATCATTTTGTTGTAAATTTGATGTTGATAAAGAGAATACGCGGATGTACGTGTAAAAAAATCTAGAATTTATTATACTTCATATTTATTACAATTTCTGACATATTTATTACAATATCAACAAAATAAAACAGAAGTCAGTAAAGAAAAGAAAACATCATTCTATTATATATGTATAACACAACGAAAGTTACGCTATCGAAAGTGCAACATTGCGTGCCAAAATACTAATTCTGCAATTTACGGCCCACAAGTTTTGTAGTGCGATGAAATTTATCATTAATATTGATATAAAAATTATCTTTACCGCTACTTTCCCATTAAAAATTCGAAATACTTTCAACAACCGTCATTATATTCCAAGCAATATCAAGAAAGCAATTTTGCTTTAATAATGTAGATAATAATTGTGATATATCTTTTCTGTCATATTTCTATTTAATCTAATTCTTGTAAAATGTCCATCACATTTTTCCTGCATAGTGTTGTATTTTATTTTAGGTATGTAATATTAGTTCAAAAAGATAAATGTCTACAAATATAACTGCATATTATAATCTATATTCTATATCTATATAATAAGCCAAATAGATAAAATATGTAGATATTAGAAAGGTTCTACTTAGATTATTAAAACACGGATTGTCCATTCCTTGAACTACATATCTACTGAGTCTAATAAATTGTATACTTTCATCCGAGAGGACGAAAGTATTCAATTAGAATCTACGCATGTTAAAACGACACGTTTGTGGGAAAGTTTTACCACATATGATAGTCGTCCAATGCAACATCCTGCTTTACCTGTACGCCGACCTATTAATTTTTTATTGACATTATCGTCTTTCTGCTCTGTTTGTTAGAGTTTAATCAAAGTTCTATTTTTTCTCGGGTATTTTCATACACATGGTATGATTGATGTATAAGCACAGCCGTCACAAGTCATTGTTTTGCTAAAAATTGCACTGGGAATTCAGTGAAGGGAAAAACGCTTGTTTCTGCTTGTGAAATTCAATGTGAAATTAAAACATGAAATCAAATGTTATAATCAGAGCGTATCTCTCAAATCTCTTCTCTCTTTTTATAATAATCTTTTTGTGTTAATTCTAAATATATTTTTATGTAACTTTCAACACTTGGAAAATATATATATATACATATTTTTTTTTGGTATAAACATGGTAGAAAGTATATATCTTTCTCTTCATACTTATGATACATTTGATAAGAAGCAGCACATTATGAGGGTGATGATGTTATCAAATTTTTAACAGCTCATTAACTGATACCAAAGCGGATGTATTATACATCGTCCGCTGGTTTACCTTGTTTTAAAGCTATATGGAGCCGGGAGCGATCGAAACTCGTAGACTTGTGCGAGCGATCGGCTAACTTTCACTGACAACTCGTTAGGCTTGCTGCCGCGGTTTCGAGTCTCATTCACAGTCATTCCGCGACTTCGACGGGCCTCGGTACACAGTCGAGCTGTCCGTATTCCTCTCTCCTTCGGCGGAAGAGCTGTCACTCCCAAAGTGTATGTTCAGTGGCTACATCAGCGGAGTGTAGGTAGTGGCGTGTTCGCGAGTTCCATGTTTCGCGCAATCGCTCTTGCAAAATTGTTTTGTGTCTCGCGCGCGCAGACGTTTTTCCCGGACATCCGCAGTGACGCAGTGATATTTCCAACGTCCAACATTTCATCGGGATATTTTTCACGGCGAGCCTCTATCGACTGATGAAAGGAAAAATTCGTTTTTGTAGAGCTATCGCACCGTATATATGTATAATCGCGCAATATTGAGAGTTACGATCCGCGGATTTCGATTTACGCGTGATTTGATTTAAGCGGCTGTTGGACGCGCATGATTTTCAGTCAGCGATGTCATCCGGGGATTGACCGTTTGTTCTCGCGATTGTAATTGCTTTTTGAAATTTAGACATCGTTGTGTGTGTGCGTGTGTACATGTGTGTGTGTGTGTGTGTAATTTAGAGGGAAAATTGCTCTCGTAGACCCGAAAGATGGAGCAGGCGAATTAACCCGGCGACGCGAGTTTCTAAAGTAGACTTCGACAACATTGTTACGGTTCGCTGGGAAAAGTTGAACCGCTGTTGCCTGCGCAGAGTTTCTCGGGAAAGGTAGATGGAGGGCTCCCGTTACAATTTCGCCGGTCGTTTCTGCGATTCTGCGCGCTAAAAGTGCATTCGACGATACAAAGAAATCGTCGACTTTAGAGAGCGAGTTTCTGAACGGGCACCGGATGAAAGTAAGGCCGGACGTTGTAAGAGGCTTTATCGTGTGCGGTACGGAGCTCGAAGAAAGTGGAAGTTAACGGAGAGTGAGAGTCTTTTCTCTCTCTTTCGCGAGGAGGAGGAGAGAGAGAGAGAGAGAGAGAGAGAGAAAGGAATCCGCGATCTCTTGCATTCCACAGCATCGATCTGCTGGTTACGTTGGTCCAGGGACAGGTATCCGCTTAGATGGTCATACGGTATTATAAGTGATCGTTTGTATCTTGGAAAATTCAGGTTAAGGCGAAACCAGTTGCGTTCTCGAAGTAAGGCGATGTGTATCGACTGTTGTACGCTTACGTAATAATACGTGATCGTCGAAAGTGGCGGAATCATCGTCGCGAATCGATGTTTGCACGTTTACATTATTATTTGATGCGACGTGTAATTTCACAGTTTGTAATGTATCATTCAGCTGGAAAATTATTAGATTAGATATCACTCTTCTCCTATACATTATTATATACATTTGTTACGTTATATGCGATATTATTTAACACGTAGAAAATAAAATATAAGAAAACTTTTTTATTTCTTTAAGTTAATAAAAAATCAATGTGATATTTCATACTTTCAGATGCAGTTCCCTACTGCAGTGGATGTGTACATTATTTTATCGCATGTCTGCGAGTCGATGCGATAACAAAAATCAATTGATTATCTCTAATATTTTCCGTACTTGGAGAAATTTATCGTACTGACAAAAAATCAACATGGACACGAGTACGGTACGCTTGGTGATATTTTTGGGCATGTTTCTGATTTTCGCCGGCGATTATAGCATTTTAATCTCATCAATTTTCGGTTATGCAACGGAGAGGAACGATACCATTAAAAAGCCCGAATCTCAGCTTAAAGGACCTCCCGATAAGATAGCTGTTGTCTCGAAACGAGACGTCGATAAGAATAATGGTAAGAGAAATAAAATAATGTGTGAAAGACATGTAATTTCTTCACAAATATAAATTACATAAAAAAATATACGAGTCATAAAGGACGTAAAAATCCTCTTACGTTAATAAATTGAGATGAAATAGTTGTTTTGTGCCGCCAAGCAATTTCAGTGCGCATTTCATGCTGCTTAATATTTTCACGCTACAGTTATCCTTATACGTATATACTTATATAAGGAAGCGAAGGCCTATGCACGCCTCATGTGTCGTCACATCGTTATTACGAGGGAGGAAATATTTGTCGAGTTGTACTTGTCAGACCGCGCGGAGCTAATTGCCACTTCGCTAATTAGCCGCGCGCTCGTGTGTATTAATTATTTGGCAACGTTATCGAGATTCTCTTTGCTTGCGTTTCATCCGTCTCGCGGTTTATCGGAATCTCGCTTATAGACTAAAACCTGCTTTTAATCGAAAAAAGGATGCGGGAAAGCAGTAGCGATATAAGCTATGTTTATATATTTTACTTCAATCCCATTGGTTTCCTTTGATATTATAGTGCGTAATATGCATGATTATGCCTGTCATAATATATATTATAATGCATTTGTGTAGTTTTGTGATTATTTTATTAGCATAATTTCTATTTTTTTATAAGTTAATAAATTATTTTTATAATAATAAAAAAATATGTTATGCATGCATCTAAATAAAAAGAAACGTTTAATTACTCAGATATTCTATACTACCATATATTATTATAAAATCATCGTCGCGAATTATCTTTCAACATATACAAACGAGAGCAAAAATATTAATATATATAATAATTATTATCTATTATTATTATAATAATACGTTTTTTCAAATTCTAATCCATTTCGATGAAAAATCGACATATTATATCCAGTCCTCGCGCTATTTCGAAAATGCTCTCGTCATGTCTCGGAAATCTTTAGAAATGTTTGACGCGTGAGACCTTGGCTGTTAACTTGTCACTTATCATACCAGAATTAAATAAAGCCGTTCACACGCGAGAATATACGCGCGGTCATTCGAAATAACATCTGCGCTCCATTAATCGTTTTGTCAGCTTCTGGACTGATATAGCATGCGCAACGATATATAATTGACAATAATGGTCCGATTTCTGTCCTGACAGTTGCCTTACGCCGTGCAAAGATGATGACGACGATCAAGACCGCCTGCCTGCCAAAGTTGATATGCGAACTCACGTCGTCCGTTCATCAAGACCAGCTGAGCGAAATGGAGCGATCTCTTTTGAATCTCATAAGGTAGGTATTTAAGTATCATTACATTTTATATTTCTGTGTCTTTTTTTCCGTCATCCGTCATTAGAAGAGAAAATGGATCTCATTGTCAATTCGTAATAATAAATGTTAAATTTCACTCGCGCGTGTCAACCAGATATTATAAAGAACGTGTAGATTTTATTGACGTTGCGCTCGAGAGAAAATCTAGAATGGAACGGTAGTTCGAATGGCTGTCGGTTTATTCAATGTATGTGGTAAGTTGAGAATCTACTTTCATCATCGGAGGCTCTTGCACTCGGCTCTTGTGCTCTTACTTTCACAACTTTCGACCGCTAAACGATTCAAGTGCATCGACCCTGAATCGACACATGCGCGAGATCAACGATATAGCGTAAGAGATTTCTTTCTTTTTTGCGCACACTCTCTGGGGAGAGAAGAACTCTACGAAAAACGTGACCTTTCGGAATGTAAGCGATTATATATTTTTTGTAATCTTTTATTCGAAAGTGCAAACCGCGATAACTGGTTCCTTCATCGACGAGTGCACGTGCGACAGCGCGTGTGCATTTTGCAATTTTCACTCATCAGGGCTGATGCGGTAATATCCGCCGCCTGCGCGCCGATAATACTGTAGGACATTTTGGAAAAACGACGGGGCATAGGCGACCGCGATCCGGAAAATTGGACGCCCAGGGTAAATGCACGCGCGCGTATTTTGCAATTTTCGTTTACGATCCGCGGTAAAACGCGGTCGAGTTCCGCGTTACGCATATATATACTATATATACATGCAATGCGAGTACATCTGTCGCGTTATGCGGATAACGCAAAGAATTATACCGTGAATTCGCGCCGTTTTACGTTCTGATTAAAAGCAAAGTTATGTTAAAGCGGGACCGGAGTGTCTCATCTGCCGCGGGAAAATCGGGAAATGCGGCTCCCTCGGTGGAACGGCTTTTAAATCCCGTATTTGCGTCGCGCGGAATGTATCGCATATACGCAATGTACATACTTTGGTCGCGGCGTGGAACTTTCCAGCGTGAATGTATTAATTACACATTCACATGCGTTTCGACCCCGCGAACATTCGCGTTCGTTCAATTCAACGAATGGGTCGAAAAATTACGAAGTCGAAGAATTCCGAGAAAATTAATACATATTCTACTCGGTTTCTCTTCTAAATACTTGCAAATTAGACTGCAAAATTATTTTTTTTTTTATATTTATATAATTTAATTTTTTATATTTATATAATTTAATTTTTTAAAAATTAAAACACGTCTTTCAAAATCTGTCGAATTCTACAACTAGTGCTTTTTACAAATGAATTTATTTTATTGATTGGTTATTTATCGTCACATCTCGATGAAATGTTATGCTGTAAGAGAATTCTCGTCGATGAATTTTTTCAAAGAATTATATATATCAAATCTCATCATTCGTTAATACATTACACTACACGTCATCGTGAAGTAAGAGTTGCATCGTAAACGTTTTGGAAAGTACTAGTCGAAAGCAGCCGCGAAAGTTCGTCAAGTGTCTTACGTAAGTCCTGTCCGAAAACGAGACATGCCTCTTTGCTGTATCTCTCACCATCCGACGAGCACTTTCCTTTTCACGCTTACTTTCTCCGGCATACGACCGGCCGAGATTTCGCGTTCGCCGTTTCCGGAACTTCGCTTCCTGCAAACATTCTTCGCGATCTACGTAAACGACGACGGAAAGTTAATGAGTTGTATTTCCTTGACTTCGATCATATTTTTGCACGGACGAAAGAAGGTCGTTTAATCGTCCTCCACTATTTGTCTTTCAAAATGTTGTTGTTTTCGTTTTAATGACGTAGAGATAGACACTTTGCATTATTCATAAGCAAATAACTGCTTTATATTCCGCTTTGTATGCTATAAGACTCAAAGGAATTAACATTTCCATCGATATTTTTTTTTATAACTTCTCGTTTGTTTGATTAATAACTGTTTTATTAATAGCTATTAAAAAAGATCTTATTACGCATTTTTATATATAGTATTTTCTTTTTGCAATGTAATATAATTTAGTTCAGTTAATAAAAAATAATCACTTTAATGCAAAATTAAAGAAGCATTTTATATAGGATATCGTAAATGGAGATGGATAGAGCTTAAGTTTTATCTTTCTAAAGCGGCGGGCTCAAATAAAAATCTTTATATTTATTACAGTTGCTCACTTTCGTCTGCGTGTTAAACAGAAATGACATCGACGAATAGTAAAATGAATTGACGCAGAAAAGCGAGATCCATTAGAAAGTATAATGAATCAAAACGACGGCACTAACTCGGATGTCACGTGGTTCTCTTTTCATTTAAATACATCTTGACATTACGCCCTCATTAAAATCATATATACCCATGCATATGTAATGTATACGTAATTGTAATGAAATAAATCTTGCAATTTTTTATTAAAAAAATAATTAAAATATCAAAAAATTCTTTTTCTAAAAAATAACAATTTTATAGAAAAGATGATGAGAGGAAAAAAGTGTTCTACTTCTCGCAAAACAAAAATCTAGATAAATGCTTTAAATATATAAAAGTCGAGTTGAGCAAATGTAGCTTGCGTTATATCTTTCGCGCGTCTTTATCATTCTCTGTCAGTGAGCATCCTTGAACGAAAACGAATGTGGTTAATGTTCCGGAAGGATTCGAGCTTTATATTTACTTTTATGCCTGCGTAAACGCGCCGGTCCGTTTTGACGGGTCCGATTTTTATCTACGCGGATCGGTCCGAGTTAAACCGATCAAGATAGGCTAAAAAGTCGTTTCGCGCGTTTATTCCTTATATCCCATGATGTCACTTTCAAGAGAGAGAGAGTCAGAACGTAAGGAACGGAGTCGTAAAGGGGGAGAAAATCTCTTCCTCGTTTTTTGAAGGTGGAAGACATCCTCCACGAGAGTCATACGTGACAAAACTGCTGCGCTTTTGCTCTTCCGACAGGTCGAACGACTGCTCGCAAAATTCAGCGCGATATCTGTTTGATTTCGATGAGATTCGGACGATTTTTGGAGTGGAAGATATTGTCAGCAATTCTTGACATTTTAGATGATGTCGATTCAGACTTCTTGAAATTTAAGGAGATACATTTATAGAAAATAGCGCGTGAAATCTTTGCGAAAATTGGACAATTTGTAATTCTACGATGCAATAATTTTTATATTTTATATATACTTTTATATTTTATATATTTTTTATTAATGTTTCTACATTATTTTGAATTTTGAAATCTAATGAATTTTTTAGATGATGAAAAAAGAAATTAATATGGGTTTTAAAATAAAGTATTAATATAGATTTGTAAATTTATGATGTTGCAGAGGAATAATAAATTCTGTTCGTTCATTTTCGATTCGTTTAGGAATGCAAATGTGAGTCTATTGAAATAGAGAAAGGATTCTAGAGATAATGCATCTTACGTGGTTATTACCGAGCATAACTGGACTTTAAGTGAATATGTTTACTGCCTATAACGATATCGAAAGTAAAAGTCGCGCATATGACCTTGTGCCCATTCTTATACATATTATTGGCCGAGTTTAACAGAATCAAGTGTTTCATCATTGGATTTCTTTTATATATATATATATATATATATATATATATATAAGTTTTAAAGAAATACTTTGCTTATTATATCATTATGACATTAAACTTTATTACATTAATATATCGAAATTACAAAACTTTGTACCATATAAAAATAAAAAATCTTGACCTAATTTTAGCGATCTGATGCAAGAAGTCAATTTTACAATTTTAATGAAATTAATCAATGTTATATTGATGCAAAATTATGACTCGTGATAAAAAATATATGTTAATAAAAATTGTTTTATTGTGTTGCTTTCAGAGATACAAGTCTGAGCACGATAGCGGAAGTGCCCTCGAGATATCATTTCGCAGCTCATATGGGTCAACTGATTTCCGGTATAGAAGGTCAAGGTTGCCACAACTTTTACCCAACGTGTCCATTGCCGGGTATTAGCGTTCTAAACATGATGAAGAAAGTCCGTCTACGCTGATAAAATCGAAATTAATTGCTGATTAATTGCTGAACCTGTGATATTACGTGAATATTTTCTCTTTTCGCAGAAGCATTGATATTATCGATGATTCAATACGTGCAGTGTTCTTTTGGCAATGCAAATAATATGTACAAATTTTGTCGAAAATAAAATCAATCGTTGAAAAAAATGTAAATTTTATGCGATATTCAAAATTTGTTCTAAAAATTGCGAAATAAAAATTCTAACTTGCGCAATTAAAATCTAAAATTAGTGAGATTATGAAAAAATATATCTGAAATAATGTTATATTAATTAACGTCTGACTGATTCAGTGATTAAATAACTGTTTTGTTAAATTTTATAGATGATTGTTGAATAACATTTGAAATATTATTATGCAATTACTTATTGTTTGCGAAATTCTTGTTTGATTGGTTCAATATTTACAAAGAATAAATGTATATACTCTTTTTTATTGCATCATATTATTTATTTATGTTAATATGTATTCACACGTGTTTTCGCTTTTGTACACACTTTTGATACACGACACATGGTTTTGTACAAATACGATTATTTTGTACTGTTACATTGTATATATTTTTTAATAAGAAATAACAAATAAAAAATTGTAACTGGAAAATATTCATCATTCTCTTTTCTTGCTAGAAATATAATACCTTCCCCGAAATAGCTATAAGTTCACTCTATACAATCCCGAAATCGCGTGCACTTTCACGGAAAAGCTCGAGAGACGCTTTGCCAAATTATCGAGATCTTTGTTCTCTCTCTCTCTCTCTCTCTCTCTATTCTTTTCTAATACAATGCCGCCGCCGTTCTCGATATAATCTGGAAGCCCATAGAGGAGAAACGCGCGAAAATTATTACAATAATCGCCGGCGTCTTTATCGACTCAAGCCCGATGCCAACTTCCAGAGTGGACATTTCCCAACGAGCCGTGCGATCGTAAACGCGATCGTGCCAAGAGTTTCGGTCAGGATTCGGCGCGATGCGCGACGAGGGGAACGTAACGAGATATGTAACGCCGATGAAACCGCACCATTAACTGCATCCCTCCGCCACCCCTTGCCGAAACAGCCGGCGACATTCGGAATACTTGTAAAAAATTATCGCGCGATATCGCGGCTCGAGTCTCTATCGGCGTCTCTGCCAACTCTGGCGATTTACAGCTACAATTTCGCTCCCTCTCGCTTTACGTGCTTGTTCGTTTAGCGATACGATACTGCAATTCCGAGGCGAAAAAGTGTTCATCCACTTGATCGAAACCAACGTATACGATATTCGAATCAATTTAAATAAATTATTGTAAAAAATTAATTTTTGCGCATTATTAATACATTTTGATTGCATGCTGACACGTAATATTGCATTGTGCAATAATATTGCATGAATTGATGCTGAGGAATCTTGGCACCTGAAAGTAGAACGGTGGAGACGGAAGAGAAAAGAAAAATGTGGCCCACATTAAGCAATCAGGTACTGCGATCTACGTGACATGGTTTAAAAAATATTTGAAACATTCATCTCGTTCTACTTTTTTGCAAAAATACATTTCTTTAGTGTTAATGCCTATTAAATTATATATCTATGACGAGTAAAACCCTAATGACGCTCTGTATTTGCAATAAGATCTTTAGATTTGATATAAAACAAAGAACATTAATCTGATCAACTGTCAAGTTGTTCAGTCTAGTGATAAAAGAAATATTTATCCGTACATTTATTTTCTAAACGAGGTCACTCTTTAAATTTCATATAGATTTAGCGTCGACTTATCTTTTGATAAAATCAATTGATTATATCATCTTTGCCTTGAAAAATTTGTCTAATTTGTCAATCGTCCCTGTGTCAATATTTTAGAAGCCTTAATTAAAATGATTGCAATATACATTAACGAATTAATTAGGAATATGCAGCTTCATTTCAAAACTTCAAAAGATATCACATTATCATTTAAATGGAGACGTTAATAAATTTTGCCGGTGACGAAACGTCGTCCATAAAAGATGACACCCACTTTCTTGGATGAAATTTCGAAGTGTCCGAAAAATTTCTAAATCGCGGTCGCAGCCATAAATACCTTCGAAGGAGACACGTATCGGGCCACTCGTCGACCTTGTCAGAGGGAGAAAGGGAGGAAGGAGGGGAAACGAAGGACGAAGTGTCGTATCGCGAATTGTCTTCGGGGCACCAAGAACCAACCAAGAACCCCCTTGCGCGGCGTATTAAATGTCGTAAGAGACGAAACCTGAACGTCGGATCGAACATTGCCAGGAAGGGGACGATCACTTTCTCTTCGTCGGTACGGCCTCGTGGTGCGTCGAGGAACATTCAGCAACGGAGTTTTTACCAAAGCAGTAACACCAGCGAGCCGCCGGTCCGTCCGCATCCTCGACCGGTGGACCAGATTCTCACGCGTTGCTGACCAAAGTCACGTGGTACGTTCACGCGGTTGCGGAAGTGCATTCTCGGGTGACGCGCGCGAGAATAATCGAGACCTATCGATTTCCGCGTGTTAGAACAGTGTATCCGTTACGTAATAGGGATGTTTTCCAAAATATAACAAGGACGATTAATTTATTCGCGATGACACGAATTGATATAAATTTATAGCCTGTTGTGGAGTGCGTGTTTCGAACTCGAGTTTCGTAGATATACATATGTGTAGAAATCTGTACAGTTTAATTGAAGAGAAATTCTGTTTTTAAATTAGATAGGTGCATCGCAATGCCGAGTGCAATTCACGTGCGATGCTTTGTTCGGATTATCGGTATTATTATCGCACAGTTCTCGTAAGTTTCTTAATGATTATTCAGACTGCAAGGGGAATCAGGTGAGAGAAGAGTAAATCGTGTATTATAAAATTGCAAGATTGCTTCACGCGCGTGTGAAATAAAGATCATTCTTTTCTATATGCAAAAGCAGTTTGCCTTTTAGTAGTTTCCCTTTCAAACGGAAGTAATTGAGAGAACTGCGCAACTAAATTGAAAGGTACTCGCGCAACGAATGGCGGAAGTTGATAAATATCCCGACAATCTTGTTAGTCAAATTAGCTTTCATATAGTTGCCTTAATTATCCAATGTCTTACAATTAGATTCGCTGCATAATGCAGTTGTCACGGACATTCTTGCTTCTCGGCTCCTGCTTTCTGGCGTTGAATCTCGTGACGGCGGCACCTGCCGGTCAAGAAGAGCCGTTTTTCGAGCTTCCGGTGCATCTGGTTGGCTTTCCGGTAATTATAGCGAGCGTAAGAATCGCCAATTTCTTCAAGAAGCTCGCTTATATTTTGAATCCAGGTAATGCGTTCTATTTAGAATCTCTCTTTTATATAAGATTCTCATAGTACAACATAAATATTTATATTCACATATTCACATTCTCCTTATATAACGAATCATACCGGTATAAAGGATATGTAAAAATTACGAAAATAAAAATAGAGACTCGAATCACGAGGAGAAATATGCAGACTTTGCCAGCGTATAAATATTCGCTCGCGTATTAAGTTCACAGCAAAAAACCTGTCAGTATTATGATCCGCTAGGCATAAAAAAGAAAAATTATATTAAGATACGCGCTTTTCCGTAGTCATGTAGGCTCATGTAACTTGCGAAATGAATCAGCGAACAGCAAAGGAGAAAGAGTTTCACTTGTTGTAAACTCTCTTTTCAATCGTGAACTACAACATACCCTGTAAATGTGTGTGTAGTTGTTCATCGTTGAGGCAGTACGCACACAAACAAATTGAAAATATTAGATATCTCTATTGGTAAATTAAACTCATTTTTTAAATCACATCAAATGTGTGTCAATTTAAGCAGTGCATTAAAATTATTCGATGTTGAAAGATTGACATTTCATAAAGTATTTTACGAGAGAATTTCTTTCTCTTGATAAATAATTATTAAATTTCAGTAAAATAACATGTAAAAAGTAAAACAAAATCATTTGTATAAAATATTTTATAGATCTTTCAAAGGTATTATCTCTTTGAATTCTTAGCTACTTATGTCAGTCGAGTGAAACGGGCACATCCCTCCATATACGACGAAGAAATTTTAGATGTTGGCCAAATTGAGAAAAAGTTAGTAACTGAGTTCGGAAATGACATTTGCATCTACGAAAGGATTTGTGTCGAATATGCAGAACGAATGCTTCGAAGAAAAAATCAGCATCTTGATTGGAATATTCTTGATTGGGGTGACGTGTTCAGGTACGATGCACAATTATCTACTTTTATTTTGCTTTCATTTAGCTTATCTAGTGATTTAAGTGAAAATTGGATTGTAGCTGCTGTGTGACTAAGAAGAAAAAAAAATATCGATGCTTAGGAAAAATCAATTTCCTCTAGATAACAGCCATAAGCTGTTAAGATATATTGACTTACTCACAAAGCATTGTCACTATGTAACTCTTAATTACGTTACGCAATCGTGACTCTGAAGTTCACGGCTCGAAGAATCTCTCTCGAAAACAGGTTTCACAAATGCATTTCTTCTTCATTAAGAAATAACAAGTTGAACAAAGGTTTAATAGATTCATTAAAGAAACACTGTCGTTCTTCACTTGTGCAATGATATGTAATGATTTCGTACTTAACTCGTTTTTACAACAGTAATTGATTTCTTGATGAAGGCAATTAGTGATAAGTTCCTATTACAAGAAGTAATTAAAGATGCAAAGTTGCGTTAAAAAAAAATAGGTCCCTCAGTGAATCTAAAAAATTCAAATTTTTTGTATAAAATATTTTAGACAAACTTTTTTTTATGAAAGATTAAATATCTTGAGACACGTATAATTTTAAAAGATAGTTGTGAATATTAAATTTTGTAAAAATATTTGTAGTAAAATTATAGTAAAATATAAAAGATATTTAAATATTTTTACGATGAAATATTAAAATAAAATTATTCCACTGTTTCGTCACACTTTAACAGATATAAGATATGCCGAAAATATCTTTCACTGGGAGAAATTTTTTAAATATTTATAGTAAAATCTCATTAATATAAGATATTTTTTACAGTAAAACAGTTTTACGATAAAATAGTAAAGTAAAAACATTGTCCTTTAGTTTTATCACATTTTTGACAGACATATCGAACATATCTTTAAAAGGGAAAACTGAATTTTCTAATCTTCAAATTTCTGTGGCGCCTAATCAATCAATAAACGATCAAAAACGTGTCATATAATCATAACAACAATGATAACGTCAAAGATGCCAATCACATCTACAGATTCTTAAAAGAAAACACATTAACAAAGGGTACCCTCTTCAATGAACTATTTTTTTTTCTTCACGAGTCCGTTCGAAGATATGAGAGAAGTCCCTGCTACCGTTTACGCTCTGCGTTCGTTCCTGGAGCTTACACTAAATTCAGTTGTAAGTAGCGCCGGGAGCAGATAGCCTTTAATGGCTCCACGGGCGACTCTAATGCATCCTGATAACTGCGTCTCCTCTTCTCTCTTCCTGGCTGCCTCCTCAACTCCTTCTTCGTCTTCATCATCGCGTGTCCACAGGCAGCCTCCTACTATTTTACGATTGCCCTGCTATCCGGGCCCGTGGGTTTGAGGACCTGTCGGCTTATCTTGGACTTCCTAATGCCTCGCGGCGAGATAGCGAGCACGTGTCATCGTGTCTGTCGACGCACGATGCATCTCTCAGGCCGCGCATTTCAATGCCCGAGCTCCTCGTCTTCTCCATCGGTCACCTGCGGGCACCTCACGTAGGGGCGAATGTTCGTGTCAAGGAGAGAGAGAGAGAAGCAGAAGAAGGGGGAAGCAGATAAATTGGAGATCGGGTACTGGCGGCAACTGCCGTCTAGACGGACTTAACCGACCATGGATGAGGGACGAAGTCCTTCGTCCCGAGATCGTCTTCTCCAGGCTCGGAAAAGCCTGGTCGATGATAGAAATATTGTAAGCGGATTGGCGTCGTTAGAAATTAGGAATCCATTTGGTGAGATGGCAGAGGTCTCGTAGACAAAGATGATGAAGCAACAAGGCATCGATTATTCCGTGAGAGAGTTTCGGAGTCGTGATGCGGTTGTGTAAAATGCACGTGCATATGCACTTAAACACGCCGATGTTCTAATCTTCGACTTTTCATTTCGATATTTTTTAAAATTGTAATAGAACATTTTTAATTTAACATGAAATCTAAGACTTACACGTCTGCATTAATTCAACGTTAAGATTAATTTTGTGTAATTTTACAGCGAGTACAAGTCATCGCCCAATTTGAGGAAGGAAAATTACTTGCTGAGTATCTTCCTAGGCAACATTATTAGCAGTCCAAAGCTATGTCATGCATTAGCGGAAAGAGGAAGAGCCTGCGATAACAGTACCTTGTTAATTTAAAAACACAATGTGCAACTCTCATGTTGAGCGTTTCTATTGATTTGTAAATAATGCCATAGACTCGAAAGATTAATGTAATTGTGATTATATAAATTATAATATTATTCGTATAAGATATTATATATGTTTGTATGATTATAATCATTTATGTTTATGTTAGTTGTGCAAAAGATTAATTTTCACTCTCTATTTTACATTAAATTATTTATATTGTTGTGTGTTAATTAACAAACATCTGCACATATATTTTGCATTTGTTTTAATAAAAAAAATACAAATTGATAAGTCTCGATTGGTTGTTGGTTGTCTCGATTAACATTGTGTGTTATATTAATAACATCCAACAACTGTCATCATTAACAGTTTGACAGATGTAAAATAAATAATAAAAATAATACCAATAACGCGCGCGAAGCGCGCATTTGTATTGTTTGCTACATAATAAAAATTCAGAAATTAAAATTATGTACATAATAGAAATTCGATGAATTAAAATTATGTACATAATAGAAATTCGATCATAAACATATAATCTATCTTCGTGTGAACGTATGTTTCATTGTCAGTCAAATCGTGAAGAGTCGAAACTCGAATCATCGAGTCGAGACTCGAGAACATTTCAACATAATAAATAATTCGCCTCACGCGATACTGCGGGATTGAAAAGTTAGTTAAGAAAAAAAGGAAGACTAACTACCAAAGCAAACTAAATATTACGCGCATACGTCTACCCCTTATTGTCGATATTTTTGAACGTGCTCTTTCATTTTTTAATAAGTTTTAGTGACTACAAACAATAATTAATTTTTTTGAAATTTTAAGGTTTCCATTTAGATAATGAAACTGTAGTTTACAAAACGTTGCTTTTCAATCTTTTCAATTTTTGAACCGAGGACCATTTCATTAATGTATTATGATATTTTTAAACACGCTCTTTGATTTATTTTCGTTTTAGTCATTAGCGGCGATAATGAAATTTTCCTTTAAATATCTCATTCTCAACGCACTTGTTCATTTATTTGTTCGTGATTCATACATTTGTGACATAAATAACTTCAATCAATGTATCACGCGTACGCGATACGTCGTTATATACTTCGCTGTTATTCTGCGAAAATAAACCGTTTGACATTTAAGAAACCACGTATACTTTGCTTATTTTCGAAGAGCTCTTGTGAAAACTGTGCCATTTCATGCGGGATGCTTTACCCATACGTCCACTTACGCACGCACACATGTACGAATGCGAAAGCATTACACGTATGGAGTGAGAGTTGCTTATAGTGACGTTACTACCAACCCACGTCTTTTCGATCGAATGGTTAAACGAGGATCAACTTCAAGGAAAGTTTCAGTTGGTACAAAACCTAGAGAGGAGACTCTCTTGTTGTCTTATTAAGAAAATATACGAGTCACGTTGTTAAATATATAATCTTGTCAAATAAAATATCAGAATTGACATTCGCGATTATAAAGTTAATCGTAAACAAGCTTTTCGTAAACTGGTGCATCGTGCATGTATATTTATAATGTGTTCAGAAGGCATTAACAACACAATGATGCACCTAATATAATGTGATATTGAAGATTTTAATATATCGAATATTATTTAACAGTGTGTTTCTGCGTGTAAGAAAAGTTATCAAACTCTGTCAGATCAATTAGAGGATTCTAAAAAATAAAAAAACTCGTAGTTTTTTATTTCACAAAATGATAAGTAAATTTATCGTCGTTTGGTGCCTTTTACTCCAAGCTCACTTTGGATACTCATCACAATATTCGCAAAGATCATCCGATAATACTCAATGCATTCTCGATGTCCCTCAGAAGATTTATAATGTAACAGATTTATTACGGTAAATATAATATTTCTAATAAAAATATTCTGATTGATAAAATATTAATAAAATTAAATTAACTCATTTATATTAATTAAACATATAGATGCATGAATGAATTTGCAATGAATCTTTCGGTTCAAAATAATGATCGGTCATTTAAACAAACGAGTCGAGAAGCTCCATATGAATTTCCTTATGGAAACATCATTTTAAGTCTATTTAATAATGAAGTGCCATCGGTGAGTATAGCTTTTGTATTCTCTCTTTCTATCTTCTCTCTTAATTGTATTCTATTATAAAATTTATTATTTATTAACATATTCTGAAAATATTTCGTAGATACAAGATTTTCTGTCAAATCCTACTACCACCAGTAATTATCATTAAACTATCCAAGTGTACCAAATGAATCTTTTAATCAGTTTGGCGGACTTGGAATAAATCTTTTTAATGCTCTGTCATCAATCTCCCGCTACGACGATTTAAAGTGTGTACCTAGAATACTCTGCGAAGTAGCGAGTGGAAAGCCACCGGGAAGATATAAACAAGCATCGACGGGAAATGATGAACAACAAAATAATTGGGCGGAATTCGGAAGAAACGTTTTCGCTCAGTGCGTGCAATAAAGAATACATGCAATAAAGAAACACTAATTTAAAGTGAAATACGACAATAATATATGTAATTTCGACGTAGTACAATAGATAAAAATTAAATACAATAAACTCATTATATTTAGGTTCTCATTACATTTTCAGATGGCTCGCTGGATCGGCAGAGGCATCTCCCTTATTGAGTTTTGCTCGAGCTGCTATGTTGGGCTACAATGGAAATCCGGCTATGTGTTACCGTGCGTATCCTAGGTGTCCGAGTAATCCCGATAAACTGGTGCATTATCTGAACAATCATAATGGCGGATTTTTTCGCTTTTTCAACAGAGAAAAACAGAATTTTCCTCAATCGTCTTATGGTTCACGAGGTAAACAATATCATGAAATTTTTAACAGACAGTCTCAAGCTTAAGGTTTTAAGAATTAAAATAACTTGGTTTTGTCACAATAAAGGTGAACTGAAATCCTTTGAAGAAAAAGACAAAAAGTCTTGCCCTCGGGCACCGCAGAAGCGTCAAAGACTGATCGAACTGGAACAGGTGAATTAAGTTTGACATTAATTCGCCTATTCGTCAAGATTATGAGAATGTTTTTTTTCCAAAGATAATACGTTCGAGAGCTCAAGTCGCGTAGTGTTTTCGGATTACAAAAAGTCTTTAGAGGATGAAAACGATCGTTTATCGGAAAATAGGATTTTCGAATTCCTACCAGATTTACAACATTCTAATGCGAAACAATTTTCGCAAAATCCGATTTCATTCTTTCCTCAGGTAATATTTCTGTATTTACATAAATAAGATTCAAATAAAATTAATCGGATTATAATATTTGCAAACTAAATCCTTTGAGATTCTTTAAGAGAAGTTTAAGATTATATTGTTAAACAAAGTATTATAATTACTAAATTTAATGTGTGTGTATAATGGCCTTTAAATCTAAAATCATCTTTGTGGAATATTTTTCAGGTATCAAAGGAGCAAGGTGTTCGTGTATTGCGTTTTACTCCTGAAATTTCAGATTCGACATCCCGTAATGCGTTTCGTTTTCCGCGTTAACAATCGATTTTTTTTCTTGACAGACAAATTTTAAAACAATAATTAGAATCATTGACGCTAACACACTTTTAGATACTTATATAGTATACTTAGAAAATTATATTTGCATTTTATCTATTAAAATAATCGATTACATAACTAGGACAAATTAATAAATTAATTTCATCACTGTTGTTTAATACGTATTTTGGTATCTAAAAATTAATGAATATGTGTTTAATACTTTAATTCGTATTACACCTTTCACAATCGCCTGAGATTCGGCAGCCCGAATGGCTCGCAACCAGACGCGTTCGCATAAATGAGGGGACAAGTTATTTAATTTATACAAGTTGTTTAATCTTTTCTTCTATATTCATTTTTTAAATATTAGATTATTTTTTTTTATTATTAGTTTTACACACTTTTTATTTATTACATCACAGCATCGATATGCGCTGTCAGCGGAATTTAGAAATTGTAGACTCAGCTGGAAATTCAATTTTGATGTCGATAGGCAAGCATCGACCATTCTACGTGCGAAAGCATATTCTATCCTCGCTGATGCAAGGGATTCTCCCTATTCGCCTACCTCACCGTTTCTCATAATAGATTTTATGTTTATTCTAAAGTATATTTGACACGATATATAATGTATAACTTTAAAGTTAATAGTGCTATTATAGATATAAGAGATTTAGCAGATTTTCGCTATAATTTTTTATTTTCATAGTTGCTTTAAATTTTAATTTGATATTTTAAATACTTGTAACATTATAAAAAGTTATAAAAATAATAGTCATAAAAACACAATTTCCAAAATCAGAAATTATTCTCTTAATATCTTCCCATTTATGCAAGAACTTTTCTTCACGAAATACAAAAGATTCTTTGCTAGGTCTATACTGATGCGCAATTACCATTGAGCGTAATAATTTTCGATCACTGTCATAAATTTTGCAAAGCGTAAGCCGATAACGTCTATGATCAACGCAAGTGTGTATCTTTCCCGCTACCGCTTAGCAATTTTAGCCACGTATGGTTGAAGCTTGCTCGACAGGTGATCGTACACGCCTTTCAAGAGTCTTCCCATTCATTTAGGGTGTTACTCCCTGACTCATGTTTTTTCTCACGTCTCATGTGATGATAGCAATATCTTGCATTTCTCATATGTCCTTGCGTGCGTGTGTGCAGAAGTGCTTAAAGCTTAAAGTGTCGAATAAAAAATATATATTATGCTATTTTAATTACATAGATAATTTTACACAGAAACTTATTATATAATACGATATGCGGCGATAACATTTCAGATCTTGATATTCTTGCAAACTATATGGGGGTTCGAAAAGAAATTAAAATATATTTAGGTAAAATATTTGAGTTAAAGATATTTATTGAATATTAAAAGTTGCATCAAAGTGTAGTGCCTCTCGTAAAAATAAAAAAAAAAGGAAGAACTGGTTCGTGAAAAAAAAAATTATCTTTTGTCAAAATAAAATTCGTTTTTAAATAAAAAGGTATTGCGTACAATGTATTGCCGTTTATCTCTTTGCGGTGTGAAACGTTTGACACGCAGCTGTAAAATTCACGTATGACTTTCTCCAAATAGCGGCTCACCGCTCGGTGACGTTGTAGAAATGGAACGCGCAACGTCGAAAAAGCGGCGGACAACGTGTAATTATTTTATCCTTTCTGGCGTGTAATTTGGGGCGTGCATCGCGTTCATGGACTCGACGCAAGCGGGGATGGTAGAAATGGTATGGCCGAGTCCACGGCAATGCTGTAGCCTAAAGGGCGTATGCCCCGGACAGGGCCAAGTGGGGTGCAACTGACAGCGGAAGACAATTAGCCTTCTGATACATCCAATGTCGCGTGATACGTTCTGCGATACTACGTAGGAACTTTACAAAGATTCGTTTCACGCATCGTGACACGCGAAATACACACTGTGCGCGATGGAGACCGTTGATTTATAATTCGTTGCGTGAGGTGAAATAACACGACCTCGCAAAATTGTAATATTAATAGACCCATGAATATATTCCTTTATCTTTGGGAGAGATTTCACCTAATATTATATTTTTAACAATTCCGGTATAAAGCCTTTTGATTTAATGTATTATATTTAATTCGAGATATTTAGTTGGCGATTATTAAATTTAGCTTCCGAGTTGAAAGAGATCGTGGATTGTCGAGTGATGCTACTGAATGCTAAAATGAATAGAGCCAGTCGTAACAGGATTAGCGCTCGAGACTGCAACGAGAATGCGATCCAACGGTGACGTCGTCTATGTTCACGGCTTTGTCATAATCTCGCTCTATTAGTGCGGTATTATTTTCGGCGTAGACATCAAAGAGGATTTTCCGCAGGTCTATTGTATCGTGTAGCGATAATTCCTCGTTATTAACACAGCGTCGTCAGGGCGTTATCTCACGTCGGCTTACCACACCCCAAGTGGCGAAACAAATCCTCCCGAATTGGTGGATGGCCGATGCAAAGGAGCATCTACGTACGACGTTGCTCAGCCGAGCTTAGCCAGACAAAGGATCTGCTGCGTGATTGTGGCAGCTAATCCCCGTGAAAAATACGCTGCAGGTAGGATCTTATACCATCAACGACCAGGTGAGGAATCTATACACCCAGGGAAGAATCGGAGTTTTTTCGAAGGGTGGATCAGCAAGATATCCTTAATGAGATCTCCGAGGCAACGCAGAATTTGTAAAGTGAAATTCGCGATGGATTATCGAGATAAACTCGAATATCGTGGCTAACGATTGTCAAAGTAATACAGAGAAGAAAATAAAAGTATTCAGATATTAATAGAATCGAAAAAGTAGAGAACTATTGAGTATTTTGCAATAATATTTCTTAACAAATAATAAGATGCAATTTAATTCGACCAAAAACTGACTATTCATTTATTGAAAATAAGTACACACTACGTTTCGACCCACATTGTGGTCCTTTTCAAATGTGTTGTTCTTATTCAGCAATTACATTAATTAAAAATAGAACATGAAAGTTGTCCTGTCATATCGACAATCTGTTAGCTACTCAATATTTCTTAAAATAATTTGATTAAATAATATTTACATTGTCGATTCTTATAAAAGAGTGATTCTAGTTCACGCAAGATATATTTACGTGGAACACAATCAAGATTCACTAAATCAAATCCTGCTAAGCAGCTTTAATGGCGCGCGATTTAATCAGACTACAGTAGCTACTACATCCCGAAGTTGGACCGAAAATAAGACATAAATTCTCGAATACACCCTCACTACTCCTCCATAAACACCGCCGCGACCTTATTTAGCCGTATATTTTTCCCCACGAGCGATTCACAATGCCTCAATATCTTACCGTCGCAATATACCACACGGACTATCCTTTTCTTCTCGATAGACTTTTCAATTCGGGTGTCGAATCTTTGTCACCGAGGACCGAAGGACGCCAATTCCCCCACACAAAGAACTACGGTAGAATCTCTTTTACGGTTGAAAACTGACTCCCCATCACTTCGCCTCGCCTTCTCCACCCTCGGCCGCTTGATGGACAGAATAATTCGGAGAATGAAAATTCATGTCCTTCGGCGATCCTTCCCTCTGCGGTCCCGCGTTTAGGATCCCTGAAAATCCGTGAAATTCTGACGCGTTGGTCAAACCGCCGGATAAGTGGGTATCTCTGCCAGTACAAAAGGAAAGATACCCTCCACCTTCTGCTATCACCGTTCGCCAGATTTCACTTATCCTCGCGATGCCAATTGTCGGAAGGACGAACGGCCAATCGGTGGTAAATATAGATTGCGCCTAGTGTTACTACAATACTTATTTTATAACGAAACTTCTTTGTACGCTTTAAATATCAAAATTGCTTTTTTCTATCTAAGCTAAAAAATAATAATAAAGTCATAATCGTGATTAAGATTTTTTTATATTTATTCAGTATCTTCGTTGCGTCTTATGGGTCTCATAAATGTTTTAACGAATTTTGGTATAGCCGTCCATTAGAAGATTATAAAACGTTAACTCTCTATTCGCGACGCACAAAACCGTCCCTGCACGCTCGAACCTCCCACGTCTTTAAAAAGACCACTTTATTCGGCAGATCGGTTTTCAAATCGTTCATAAATAATGAATCTGGCTGCGGGTAGCGCCGTGCAACGTCAGTCAGCTACGCTGATTGCAGCATTGAAGACACGTGTCGCGGATCAATCGTCGGACGCGTGTCAGTATTTTCGTATCATCGCCGAAGGGTGCTTGCTACTCGTCTCTCTCTCTCTCTTTCTCTCTCCATCCACCTCCCTGGCTACCTTTTATCCCGTCAATTCCCTTCCTTCTCCTTCATTCGACCGCTTCCTTCTTCCTTTATGTCGTCGCCCCTGCTGCCTCGAGTTTGCACGCAAAGCCAAACGATGCGCAGAGAATCGGTCTTTTTTTTTTTTTAAACCAACCAGACGACGCTTTAATGCGACCGGGATTATGCGGTTGGACCGAGGCTCCGGATTTCGTTCGAGATCGTCACGGATAAGGGTCGTGTAAACAGAATTCTAAGAAGACCCCTTGGCGCGTCACGTCGATCGCTTGTCAGCCGACGGGATTTGAAGGTTTTTTTAATTAAAAGCGTCGGTGTAACTTATAGATAGCGGTGCT